TAGGGTTTAGGGTTTAGGATGATGAAGCACCCATTTGGTCTGCCATGGGGGCTAGGAAGGATTATGGTAATAGGGTCTATATAGAGTTGGAAAATGGCAGCTACTATATTGGCTTGGAAAATCGGTGAATGCAAATCCTGCACATATAGCATCAGCACAGAACCGTCTTCAAGGGCGAATGTGGTTTACAAGCAGCTCAACTTCATCATGATCGCAAAGCATTATGCAACTAATAATTCACCAGGGCTACGCTCAGGTTCACTCTGAATGCAATAGAGGCTTCTGACCTCAGATCCTCCTAGAGAGTCAGGGCGGCTAAATCTTTACATGTAGGGTGAAGATAATTCCTTGTAGCACCGTGACAATATGTGGCCGTTTCTCGAAATCAGGAAGCCTTCAATACCCGGAAAATAAAAAATACCCTCAAAAGGGACCGACTGATATGACATGCTCTACTATGCCCCTACCCTACGTACTCCGCGAGAAGAACCAAAGGCTACGACAACGATCTGAAGAGAAAACCACACAGTCAAGTTTTCGGAGTCAGCTCTATGGATCTCTATACATTAGGTCATGCCCCCTTTACAGGAACTGTTACCACGATAGGTACTAGGAGTTATAATAGCCACTTAATCAGATATGTTTAAAGACAGTTACTGTCAAGCTGAAAAGACCCAATCTTTAGATTCCTTGAAAGCCACGCCCTAAAAAGCAAAAAAACATCCGATCGGCTTGCTTGAAAAAACCCTGCACCCTAAACCCTCATCCTTCAACACTAGACTCCAAACCCCAAATATCCATATATCTCCCATCTCCACATGTATCCTCATCTGTCCCTTGGTACCCCTCTACATCCCTCTGTATCCCGATAACCCCTCAAACACTCACATGGCCTGGATAAAGAGGGCCAACAGGTCCCGCCGTTCATTGAGCTTAGGATCATTCCGGCATTTCTGGACCAGGCGATTGGCCTCTGTAGGGATGTTAGTGCATTAGAGGTTTTCAGGGGCTCTATAGGCTTTGGCATTTACAGAGATTGGGGAGGTTCATGGGAACAACATGCGCAAGGAAGCAACAGTCATAACATGAGAATCTCAGCAAGTCCTTTGCAACCCTTCATCTGAGTAGTGTGTTTTTTGGT